GCCTCAGAGAACGTAAAGCATTCCTGCCCCATGCCATATAGTTTCAAAATCAGGGAGGTGCTTCTTCCTCACCAATCCCATTATACTGGGATGGCGACGGGGGTAGAACATGCCCACATAGGAGAAGAGGGGTTAGATAGCTTACATCTATCTCCTCTTCTAGTCCTCCCCCCAACCAGATGGTATCAAGTGACCATATCAGCAACCCCTCAAGCCACACGGTGCTGTTGATGAATGCCAGGTCAGTACAAAATAAGACTGCCCTCATCTGAGATGTAATTCTCAGTGAGGGTGCTGACCTGACGTGCATTACTGAGACCGGGGTGGAAGAGGGGGGTGGTGTTCCCCTCTCCCAGCTGGCTCCACCTGGGTACTTGGTCCAGCACCAATGTCGCTCGGAGGATCGGGGGGGGGGGGAGTTGCTATACTCTATAGTTCTGTCTCTTTGACCAGGCTTCCTATCCCTTTGAGAGGAGGTCTTGAGGGCCTGTATTGTGTGTTGGGCTTATAAAACAGATTAGGGATTCTGTTGGTGTAGTGTCCACCCTATTGCATACCAACAGTCTCCCTGCCTGAGCTGACGGAGGTAGTCTCGGACCTGGTGCTGGGGGACCTCAACATCCATGCCGAGGCTCCCTTGACAGGGGTGGATCAGGACTCCATGGTTGCCATGACAACCAGGGGGTTGTCTCAATGTGTCATCGGCCAGACACATGAGAAGGGCCATACCTTGGACCTGGTTTTCTCAACAGGACTGGAAGATGGTGGTTTGGATGTGGAGGGGCTGGTTGTGACCCCATTGTCATGGTCAGACCACTTCCTGGTCAAGTTTATTCTATTAGCTTCTCCCCTCTGCAAGGGTGGGGGATCTATTAAGATGATCCGCCCTCAGAGACTAATGGATCCAGATGGTTTCCTGAATGCTCTGGGGGATTACTCATCTGATATGGTTGGCGGTCCTGTCGAAACTCAGGCCACCCTATGGAATAGGGAGATGACCCGGGCGGTTGACACGATTGTGCCTAAGTGCCCTCTCCCTGCACGCAAAGTCCAGATAGCTCCTTGGTATACTTCTGAACTGTGGGTGATGAAGCGACAAGGGAGACAGCTGGAGCGCAGGTAGGGGAAATCCTGCTGGGAGTCTGATTGAACACGATTTACAGCCCATTATCGGTCCTATTTCATGGCAATACGGCTGGCGAAATGGCGGTAACTCTCCAGCCATATTGCTTCCTCAGAATGTCGTCCAGCAGAGCTATTTCGGGCAGTCCGGGATCTTCTTCAACCAGGATATCTGGTGGAGGTCCTGGACTGCTCATCAGCTTGCTGTGATGAGTTTGCCATTCATTTTGATGGGGGAAATTGCTCAGATTCATAGTGGGTTGGATTCCACCATTACTGCAGAATCAGAGGATGTGTCCAGTGTGCCATGCTTAGGTCAAGTATTAATGGATGAGTTTCAATTGTTGAAATGTGAAGGGACGTGTGGGCACTGTGGGCTAAACCGCAGAAGCCTGTGCTGCAGGGTCAGAAGACCAAGCAATCGTAAGATCGAATCCACGCGATGGAGTGAGCGCCCATCACTTGTCCCAGCTCCCGCCAACCTAGCGGTTCGAAAGCATGCAAATGCGAGTAGATTAATAGGGACCACCTCGGTGGGAAGGTAACAGCGTTCTGTGTCCAGTCGCACTGGCCATGTGACTATGGAAACTGTCTTTGGACAAAACGCTGGCTCTATGGCTTGGAAACGGGGATGAGCACCGCTCCCTAGAGTCGAACACGACTGGACAAAAATTGTCAAGGGGAATCTTTACCTTACTGTCAATTGTTGAAACCTGAGGATGTGGACAGGGTACTTGGATCTGTCCATTCTACCACCACTCCACTCGACCCTTGCCCGTCTTGGCTGATTGGAAGATCTGCCAGGGGAGTTTGCACCTGAGTCCAGGAGGCTGTGAACACCTCTTTGAGAGAGGGAGTGGTCCCTACCACCTTGAAAGAGGTGGTAATTCGGCCACTCCTGAAAAAGACTAACCTGGACCCAAGGCTGGTGGTTAATTACTGAGCAGTGGTGAACCTCCCTTATTTGAGCAAACTGTTGGAGCGGGTTGTGGCCGGGCAACTCCAGGTGCTGCTGGATGAAATGGATTTTCTGAATCCATTTCAATTTCAGGCTGGGTTTTGGTACGGAGACTGCCTTGGTTGTCCTGTACAATTACCTTTGCTGGGAGAGAGACAGGGGGAGTGTGACCCTGTT